GTGCGTGCGTGCGTGCGTGCGTGCGTGCGTGATTAAAATTGCTTTTACAATAAATAAACATTGAATGTGTTTAATTGAATAGTAAAGGGGTTTAACGTTAGTGGCAGGTTGTGTGTGAGAGAGAATAAATAAGACAGCCCAATATTTAAAGAAATTGTTATTATTTTTTCCTGCATATTTCGCAACTTTCCGCATATTTAGCAACTTCCCGCAATTTCACCGCATAAAATCACATAAAACCCCGCATGTTTACTCGCATAATCAAGGATTTTAGCCCGCATAATCAAGGATTTTTGCCCGCGTTTTTCTGGAGGGTCTATCAACTGCGTAATAGAGGGGGAAAAAGGCAAACCGTTTTAATTTACCATTTTGATTGTTCTTTGCAGCCATAAATCTTCTTCAATCCAGAAGGAGACTCCAAAGAAAAAACCAAAACTGGAGTTAAAGCCATCCAACGGGGACAGGTATTGGTAAAAAAAGATTTTTTTTTTTATGGAAAAATGCTCATTCCTTTAGCAATCATCCTGCTGAAGTGCTTCTTCTTCAAAATGTTAACTACCCATCTTAATACTGGCCTTGTTTCTTTTCCTTTCCCCATTCAGTAGTTCCATCACCCAGTCAATGGACTCTGGAGGAACAGATAACTTCATTCTCATCAGCCAGCTGAAAGAGGAAGTGATGTCACTGAAGAGAGTTCTGCAGCAGAAGGATCAAACCATTCTAGAGAAGGACCGAAAGGTATGTTATCACCCTCTAATGAGTCAAATGCTAAATCACCGTTGGTTCCTTCTATGTGTTTGACGTATTGTTTATTCATTGCCCCTCTAGCTCACAGAGCTCAAAGCAGACTTTCAGTACCAGGAATCCAACATGAGAGTCAAGATGAACCAAATGGATAAATCGCACAAAGAGTCTATGGAGCACCAGCAGGTAGGAAACACCAGATGCACACATGACAGGTGTCTCTTAAACGTTTCAACTCCAAACTCCACACCTTATAACACCCTCAAACAATATTGCAGTCTTACACAATATGCTTATCCTGCAAGTTGACAACAGTGACAATAAAAAATCATATATTGTGCAGCCCTAGTTGATTCTAATTATTATTATTTAGCTCTTTTTGCTTTTTGAAGAGGTTTACAGAGTCCAAACATTCAAATGAACATCTTCCAAGGAGGTGTGTTGCATAGTATTTGCTAAAGCATGACTTTTAATGTTAGTCCTGTCAATCACTGACTGTCAATCTTGTCAGTTCAAATAAAGGTTCTCTTCTATGACTTAAAGGCCCAGTAGAAATGAGCACACGCTAAATCAATGACATCTAAGTTTGCTTTCCTTGAATTTGAAATTCCTTGATTGTTTCAAGTACCTCTTGTAGTTATACTTACGACAATGTTGTTTTTTAATGCAAAAACCTGTTGGGGAAACAGTGCATGATGACCCTTGTCTGTTATTGTCTTCTTGCCCAGGTGATTTTAAGTACGGTTGTACGATGTATAACGTTGTATAACTGCAGCTATTGCAAAAAGAGTTGCTTTAAAATGTTAAGCAGTATCTGGACCCATATCCTGCTTGTGTGTCATATGTGCCAGGGATGAGTCACTTGTTGCATAAGTTTGAAGACTGGTGTTATGAACAAAATGCGTCATTTAGGCCATTTCCTGTTAAACTCTGATGTTATTTTTTTTATTATGATTGCTATTTTGTTAGTGTCACCGCTGCTGCTGTTTTTTCATGCTGATTAGACCTACGCCATTTTTTATCAGAACACTTTTAACATTTAAAGTTAACCCATGTTGGAAAACCATTTAGGGTCAGATGAATGATGAGTGTTAGGTATAAAAGTACATGCTTTGCAATTCGTGTCATGTTTCTTCACATGTATTTATAGCAGCCAAATTGACATGTTAATGATTTTTGTGAGTGCAAAAATGCCAGAACTATGCATTTACCACCATGTATCATTTGTTTCCACAGGGCAAGAACAGGGAATTGCTGAAACAAGTCGCCTCCCTCTCTAAAGGAAAAAAGTTTGACCGGACAGGAAGTTCTCTGCTGCCCTAACAATGGGTTGGCCAGCGGGTAGCAACACAGAGCGGCTTCATTGTTGTGACACTGTGAAAGTCTCCCTCTTATCTCATTGCCATCAACATTGATTACTCCTGAAATGGTAACGACAGAGACCATGTTGTACATGGAACTAAACTGTTGAATCAAAGAACCCTTTCTCTAATATCAGCATATTTTAGATATTTTATGGCAACTTTTCCACTGGCTCATGAGATGTGTGACTGAGTGGAGGATGGAGCCCTCGTTTTAACACTGCCGGGCCAAAACAGAACGCATGGTGTGCATACGTGGACAGCATTCTGTCAACTCGATGTATCCACTTGATTTTTATGGATCTCATGCAATTTATTTATTCAACTGTATTTCTTAGCTTTTTTATTTCCTCACAACATACTAAGAGAATATCCACATTTTGGGGTTTTCTTCAATAGCAATTAGTTATATTTTTCTAAATGTATGTGAATGCAAAAGACAAGTTCTCTTCAACAGAGATCCGGCGCAACTTTACTATGTATGCAAACGTGGGAAGGGTGACCACAGAGCTGCCTCTCAACCGTTGAGAACCCTCTCAGTAACAATTCACAAAAGTACCAATGAACACTTTAAAAGGCTGTCTGACAGAGAGACACCTCTTGGCTGCCCTCTTTTTCACTGTGTGACAGCCGTTGTGCTTTGCTGTTTCTCTTTAGTGGAACATTTGTAATGCATGATTTTACTGCCAGACACCGGTTGGCATTGTGGTCAGACTTCTTTTCTCCCTCTCCCTTTTTAATTAGTTTTTTAAGAATCACTTGTAAATGTATTACTGGGGTCAGCCATTGTATTTAAACTATTGCTTGTATCTGTTTTAGTGTGTACAGTATGTGTACGGTAAGGCCAGTTGAAATTAACATGTCTGTAGAAGATGCTTTTTAAGGAACACATCTATCATAATGCATTATTGGGCTGGTTTCATACCGTGGCGTCCAGGATCACTTTTGTACTTTTTTCCAAACCAACTGTTTTAAAACTATTAAAACTGGCTAAACTGTTATTGTATGTTTGTTTTTATTGACCATTTAAGTGTTTAACAGTTATGTTTTGGATGTTTGTAACCTCTATAGTTAAAATAATATAAAAAAATATAAAATAGCTGGTATTCACATTTTTATAACTAGAAATAATGTATCATTTCATTTGTTAAAGGTCTATGTATGATAAATAAATCAGCTTAACCTGTTATTCATTGTTAAGTGATTGTTAATTTAGCAAAAGTTTGTTTTAATTTGGATACCATTTGCACAGATAGGACATCAGTTATAGTATAAACAAAAAGATCTGATGAAGTTGTTAAAACAGGAAAAACATCGAAATCATGTCCTACATCAAATTAATCAAACGCGGACACTCTCCTAGCTCCATAAAAAGAAACCCTCTACCCTGGCAAACATACATGAGGCGAGAAGAGTCCAGCAAAAGCGACATATTGTGTTATAGTCATATGAACAATGTATGGAAGTTAATCAGTTATTGACTGCGGTCAAGCCAGCCTCCACTCGGGAAAACCTAGTCAAGCCAGCCCGCACGTGATATTGCGGTTGTAGAGTTTCAAAATAAAAGACCTTTGAAATCTATTGTATAAGCTATCATCCCTGTTTTTAGATGAGAATAAAACAAAAACTGTTTTATTCTCATCTAAACACAGAGGGATGATAGCTCATATAGACAAGTTTACGCGACAAACCACGGGTAGCGCCATAACCCTACACAAATGCACTTCATTTCCGCCGGAAGTCTTTTGCACAGCGTCTGTCGGTGTAAACCGGTGTAAACAGTCAGACGGGCACTGGTGTAAACACAGCGATTTCGATGCTAACAGTGATGCTAGCTTGGGAACACGATTCTACTTCTTTGACTGGAGATGGCGTTACTCTCCCCCACCCGAATTCAGTGCAAAACTGGGAGGATAACATGACGACGTGGCCCAGCATAACGTACAGCAAAATTTGCTCCTACTTCGTTCAATCCATGGCAATAGATGGAAAAGCAATGGGCAGTCTGAAGGCCTCCGAGGCATATCAATATTTGCACAGCAACAAAGTTGGTTGTGTCATGT